TCTGCGATCTCCCATAGTTCCGTTATCTTGGGCCATTCCAGCTGTGGGTTTCTCGTGTTGCGCGCGCGGACCATCAGGCGCGTGAGTTCCATTTGGACCTCCAGTAGGAACGCACGTCGCGTTGACAGGCCACACTGTCGAACCAAACCGACAACTTGCATGACAGCCCAAAGGGTTTCGCGGAGAAACGCACGGACATATTTTTTACGACAGAAGCAAAGCATGCGCCGCAAAATATTCAGTTGCAATCCGTCTGGCCTGTCCTGGTTGGACGTTGTTGCCGGGGATGCATCGCTGCTTCTTCACAGAGGGCTGTGCTCGAAATGTGGACGAGCAAACAGTTTACCTGACTGTAGGAGGCGCCTCTGGCGCGCGCGCGCGGAGCGGCATCGGCGCTCGTCGTGCCTCCCCGTGCTGCTCCGTACTCCCATCGCCCTCCTCCTGCCTCCCCACTCCTCTTTCTCCTCGCCTTCGTCGTCGTCGTCGTCGTCGTCGTCGTCGTCGTCCTCCTCCTCCTCCTCCTCCTCCTCCTCCTCCTCCTCCTCCTCTTTCCCCTGCACCTATATGCATTAATTTTTGTACGTCTATGTTTTATATACACGTGTGTCCAACCAGCACAGAGGTTTCGCAAGGGCTTCTGCCTGCTGGAGTGTTCGTGCTCTCCTCCTCCTCCTCCTCCTCTTTTCTCCGCTCTCCCACCATCCCCCTATTATCCTCGCGACCCTACGTTGCTCTCGACCTGACCCGTCCCGACAACCCGAGTCAGGTCCTGCCCGGCCCGATCGGATCACGCGACTCATTGCCCGATCCGGATCTCCGCGGTCGCCCGTGGTCGGTTTTCTCACCCGACGGCCCGAGCGCCCGAGGCAGGCTCCGCTTGCCAGCTGCGCATTGAGAAGAGGCCTTCCAATTTCCGCAGGGTGCGATCGCAGAGGAGGCCGGCAGGTATCAAGCTTTTGGAGCTCATAACCTGGATGACGCAGGAGCAGGGGAAGGTCACCTTCATGGGCGTGAGAAGAAGGAGATCGCGGTTCGCTCATCACGGCCTGGGTCAGAGAGGCGCCTTTCCCCAAGGTGGCTCCGCGAGGGAGCGAAGATATCCGCGCGTCGCGCATCGTGTGGCGCGATGCGCGAAACCAGGTGACCCAGGAAGGGCGATCGCTCTCGAGGCGATTCTTGGCGTCCTCGTCGTCGTCGTCGTCGTCGTCGTCGTCGTCGTCGTCGTCGTTGTCGTCGTCGTCGTCGTCGTCGTCGTCGTCGTCGTCGTCGTCGTCGTCGTCGTCGTCGTGGTCGTCGTCGTCGTCGTCGTCGTCGTCGTCGCCCCGCGCCCCGCCTGCCACCCGGCCGCGTTGGGACCCGCTTGCAGCCCCCCAGCTGCCCGCGGTGCTCGCTGTGACGCCCGCTGGCCGCGGCGGGCCGCGGGCATCTGTCGCGAGCCGCGGCCCCCCCCGCGATCCCCCCCGCGCCTCCCGAGCGCAAAACTCCCCCCGCGCCTCCCTCGGACCCCTCCTCCCGCGCTCCCGCGTGCCCCGCGATCCTCTCCCGCGCTCCCGCTCCCCCCCTCCTGCGCTCCCGACAGGTTCCCGAGGCTAGATGGTGACGCTCTCTGTTCCGTAGCCTCTCATGCTCGAGGCTCAGGTGTGTGCACGGACGCTCCAGCACCTCTGAGCGGTCCCATCGTCGAGCGAGGCTAGCGAAAAAACACCTTTCCTATCTCATGGCGTCGCAGTGATATTCTCCCCCCCTCCTGCGCTCCTGCCCTCGAGGCCCGTGCCTCCGGCGCCCCGCGCCCCGCCGGAACCGTGCGGAGGGGAGGCTGGCGCCCGCGCCCGCGGCGGGGCGTTGAATGGTCGAGCAGTCTGCCTGTTGCCCTCCCGCGTCGCAAGAGAGATCGCGTGCGCGCCGACGCGGATGAAGTGCGTGCGTTTCGTGGCCCTTGACCGTTGTGCACTGACTGGGTGGCGCCGGCAGGCCCTTTTTCGGTTCGGCCCGCTGCTCCCTTGGCCGCCAGCAAGGCAGTGCAGGCGCGCTTCGGTTTTCCGCGGTCGCGGGGGTATGTGTTTTGCATCGTGCAGTGGGGAACGGGTTCTTGGATGCCTTCGTTTGGCATTGAAGGCGTCCAGGGCCACGTGCCCCACCTCCGTGCTGTGCAGGGCATGGCGGCAAGGCGCGCGCGAAGGACTCCCGCAAGAAGTTGTAATTGCACCGCGTGCAGGTGCCTTCTACTCAGTGCGGTGATGGAAATGGGGGTTCGAGAATATTGCTGCCCATCTAATTACCCGCATTGTTCCTTGAGGCACTGATTGGTCCATGAGGTTCCCAGTGGATCCCTGCATGATCGATCGGGATCGGCGTGGTCTGGATGTTCGGTCCACGCAGGACTCCGCGCCCTGTGGTGGGCCTGGTTGGCTAGATCGGAACCTGGGGCGGGGCCCGGGCTGGCCAGGCGCAGCAGTGGGCGCGCCCGGATGCTCGTGCCGCAACCCCAGCTCGTGGCGACGGCGGCGATCGTGGCCGTGGTCTCGGCTGCTCCGAGGCCCCAAGCGAGAGCGGGGGCCGCCGCGGAAACGGAGCCATCGGGCGCCAGGCGAGCCGCCGACGGCTGGCCGGGCGATGGGCAGGGCTGCGGGGCGGGAGCGGCAGCCACCACGGCCGGGTCGCCGCCGCCGCTGCCGAGCCGGGGCCTCTTGCTTCCGGGAGCCCACGGGGCTCGTCTCGTTCGTCGCTCCCGTGGGGCGCTCCAGGGAGGGCCTCGCCCTTTCTGGGGTTACCGAGAGGTCGGCGCCTCTTCGGCGGCGGATGCACTTGGGACTGAAGCGAGGGCGGCTCCGCCAGAGGAAGGTCGGCGAGATATGCCAGAAGCGACATATGCGCCTCCCATAGATGTCAGCCTCTTAGTGGTTAAGGTTTCAGGAAAATGCCGCATGAGTCCGCCTCGTCTCATTATGGTGGTCATCAACTTTTTCTTTATCTTATCCAGCTTCTTCATCTTCTTCTTCATACTTGTTTTCATGTTCTTAATCTTCTTCACCTTTTCTCATATTCTTCATCTTCTTAATCTTCTTCATCGTAGTCGCCCTTTTCATATTTTCAATCTTCTTAATGTTCTTCATCCTCATCTTCATCATCGTCGTCGTCATCATCATCATTTTCATTTTCGTTGTCATTCTCATCATCATCACTCTCATTCTCATTATCATCATTATCACCATGATGATGATGATGATGATGATCATCATCATCATTATCATCATCATCACCACCACCATGATCATCACCATCACCATCATCTTCACCATCACCATCACCATCACCATTACCATCATCATCATCATATCATCATCACCTTCATCATCATCATCATCGTCATCATCATCATCATCCTTTTCATCATCATCATCATCATCATCATCAACATCATCGTCATCATCATCATCATCATCATCATCAGCATCATCATCACCACCATCATCATCATCATCATCACCACCATCATCATCATCAACATCATCATCATCATCATCATCATCATCGTCATCATCATCATCATCATCATCATCATCATCATCATCATCATCATCATCATCATCATCATCATCATCTCATCATCATCATCATCATCATCATCATCATCATCATCATCATCATCATCATCATCATCATCATCATCGTCGTGTTGACGCTCTTGATTTTCATCGCCTCTGATTCGCCACGTGTGCCCTTGCTTTTCGCTAGTTGAGTTTGGGGCAGTGCTACGGACCAGGGGGCGCGGGGAGCGCCCCCGGCCGTCGTGGGCCACTGCTGGCGCGCAGCGGTGCGGGAAGACGCATTCCTGGTTGTTGACGTCGGCCTGCACGGCCTTCTGAAACGCAGCTGAAAGTATTGGCGTCTGAGCCCGACTTCTCGTCGCAAGCCTCGTCGGCTCTACCCTCTGACGTCGAGACCAGCGCTCCTCTCCCCGAGCCTCCGCCGCATCGGGCGCCGTGCGCATGTGCATTCTGTTGCCGCGGCCGTGCTCTTGGCCATGAGTGGCGCCGCGCAGCTGTAGGCCCGGCCTGTTTACGGGGCGGTGCTGTTAGTGGCGCGCCCAGCGTGGGCCTTTGACAGGTGCTTGGGCGGGTGGTGCCTGGCGTGCGTCGGCGCCGTCGTGGCCTGCGCCCAGGGGGGGCCAGTGCGCAGGGCGACCGTGGACTTGTGCGCTCGTGGTGACAAAATGCGCGTCGGGTTTTTGCCGCCCTTGTCTTGTGCGCGCGCTACTCTCCGTGCCTGCTTGCCTGTCCTGCTTCTCCGTTGGCTCGCGGCTTCTCGTGCCTGCCCTGTGCCCTTGCGTTGCGTCCGTCTGCCGGCCTCGCTGTCGTTTTGCCGTCCTGCGTGTCCTCCTCTTTCCGCCTCGTTCTTCGTCTGCCGCCTTCTTTGCTTGTCGGCGTCGTGCTCTTTCGTTGTTGTCGGACTGCTTGCCGTCGTCGCCGCCGTTCTGCCGTCACCCTCGTTTCCGTCGTCGTCCTCGTCGGTCGTCGTCTTTGTCGTTGTCTTTTGGCGTGTGGGCTTTGGCACGCGCAAGTGCATTTTTTCCTGTAATTGTCATTTGTTCTCCTAACCCTTGCCCTTTGACACCTAGCCGGCCCGGGCATGGTTCATCCGCGATCCGCGAGGTTGGGGCGCTCGCGTTTTCGGTCCTTGTTCTCCACGAGGTATCGTTTGATACTTGGCGTAGCCCCCTGAAGGCCCCGCGGGGTATTTTCACGATTTCTTGATTTGGTCGTCGTCGCTTCTCGATTGAGCACCACATGTTGCATGGAATGCGGATAGCTAGCCTCTGCGTTTTGCTTTTTTTTTTTTTTTTTTTTTTTTTTTTTTTTTTTTTTTTTTTTTTTTTTTTTTTTTTTTTTTTTTTTTTTTT